TCCGGCAAAGGCGGCCCCTGCACCGCAGCCGGCACAGCCGGCACCCAGCGATGAGCCGAAGGGGTGCGCAACAAACGGTTGGAGGGACATGGAGAGCTCACCCGGTGATGTCCCAGTTGGTCTAGAGGAATCCAGAATATGTAGTGTCAGCGGTGGAGCAGCGACATTCCATCAGGTTGTAGCTATCTAGCCTCTGTTGAAGAAACTGTCAGACCACTTGGACCAGGAAGAGCGGCGGAAAGGGATTCAAAGGCGACACATTGGGCAGATTGGGCAGAAGTGCTTCAGGGGCTTCGGATATTCGGTGTGCTTCGAGGCTTCGGTGATGGCTCTGCAGCCTGCGGATTAGCAGCATATACTGTGCTAGCTGCTTGCTAGTACTGCCTGGTTTACTGCCTATGATCCACGTCGCTTTGCTTGGGTCTCATGAGCCTGCTGGGTTGCGCCTTGGTGTTTCGCAGATGTCGGGCGAGGGTAACGTTTTTTCCCGCACTTTAGCCTGCAGGTGCGTTTGGGTGGCCGTCCTCTGCATGAGGCAAAGCTGAAGCCGAATTACCAAGAAGGCAAACTCTGGACGATTAAACAAAACGAGCTCGCCTTCACACGGTCATGGAACCGAAACATGCATCTCGAGTGAACCCGCCCCTGCAACACCCTGACGTGAGAAACGGCTTCCTAGGAGGTTCGTCGTGGGGACGGGAGGCGACACAATGGTTGAACTTCAGGATGCGATCGCTTTTTAAGTCGGACCCAACGGTTCAGAAGTGGCTTTGGCCACGCAGCCTGCTGCGGAAGGAAAGAGCGACTTCGGCAAGGGAGAGTTCGGAGGCGCGAACGCGGGCGTTCCCGCATGCCAGAGTATGCGGAAAGGGTAGTGTGCAAACAAATCATGACCAATGGACGTTAGAACTGCACACATGAGTCAACGACAGTGAGTTCTGAAAAAATCCTACGATGCGCAAACCCCGCATCCGCAGGTGGCAGAGACAAAGGAGGCCGAGCCAGCGCGTTGGGGGTCATTTCTGTTCTGGAGCCAAATGCAAAGGACTTTTATTTTGTATTCTAGCTGAAGGCTGGGGGTGCGAGAGATTCCAGCGCGGAGTTTTAGGTCTTTGGCTTCTGGCTTGAGAGATCCGTTCAAGCTGGGACTTCCGGCTTCATTATCTTCAAGATGAGTTTCTTACATCGAGCTCTTCCGCTCTGGCGGGTTCTAGAGCTTGGGCCACGGGTTCTCGTTGTTGTCTGGTAGGGACAAGAAAGTGATTTTCGACTGGCCCACATGCTTGGACCAACGCAGCCGGCTTTCGATTACACTGAGTACGTCTCCAGTGATAGTCAAATGTTGAGTGCCCGCCATGGGCGAGGTGGCAAAGGAGACTTCGGCAAGGATGGCCCGAAAGGAGGCCATCTTTGGCTGGCGCTACGCAGGTCTTGGATGTTCTGGATCTTTGCGAGTGTGATGGCATGTTGAATGCAGGCGTCTCTGCCAACAACAGGAACAACAAACGTGCGAGCAGTTTCATGGTTAGGTTGTCGGGCCGTGGATTCACAGACTCGATTCTTTTCCGAACTAGTTTGCTTTGGCCCCACACTCGCCTGTGAGGTGGTCGTGGCGGAAGTTCGCTTGCAGGCAGGAAGCTCCCTGTGTGGATCTTTTCCCCTATTTATTCTACATGGCTGCATAGAGCGGACTTACGCTTCTTTACCCACTATCTAAAAGCACTAACGCCCACAAGTCACTCGGCGAGGCTGGATGTTGGAGGATATCCAAGACCTGTGTGATAAGCAAACGCCTCGGGTCCAGGGTTTCGCACTTGAGTCCTGCAATGCCTAGCTTTGGTGGTGCCATGACTTCTGAGGTTTCAGATAGACGATCGCCTGCAGCGAAGGCTGACGGAGCGAATGGAGTCGCGGCCCTGGGAGACGAAGTATCCAGGATCAGGAACCGCGGTGAAAAGCCTCGCCTGAGCCCAAGGATCCCAGGCCCAAAGTCCACTGACAGCCCAGACTCAGACCATGGACCACGAATTGATCATGCACTTGGTCAGGTCCCGAGAAGACACCTTCAAAGAGGCCCGGGAGTGGTTTGCGGGTTGGAGTCCCAAGCAGACCAGATCTACCGTTCCAGGATGACTGACGGGTATAAGGACAGCTGTCAGAGTTCTGGTGCCTTCTTTGGGCTCTGAGCAACAACCCTCAAGCGCGATTTGACGTTTGCATCCCTGAAATCTGCAAGCCGTGACACCTTCGGTATCACAGGACATGCGAAGCCTCACCGAGACCCTTGAGACGGTGGGCCGCACAGCATACGGCATGCAACATGGCCTCGGAAATTTACTTCGACTCCATCTCTCTGGATCAGTCCGACAGGGCTGAGGTTGCGGTACAATGTTAGATGGCGGACTACGATGATGTCGGGTCTAAACTCGAGTGTTCCAAAACTCACAAGGCCCCCATTGGCATCTGAAGCGTTAACCCGCTCCTGGCCTAGACTCTGCCC